AATTCTCGATAAAAACACATCAAACCCTGGCCGGAGCTAAATTCAGCGGTTTGGACCCCGGCCTAAACAATAGCCGAAATTCAGGGATTAGAACTAGAGGATTGATTACCTCGCTGCAGGAAGCTCGTATATGAAATTTGGGCTCAATCCGGCTTCCGGATACTCCGAAACCCTAATTTGGCAGATCGGGAATTCAAGAAATTCCTGAACCAAAAACTCGTTTTAAAGCTCTAAATCGATAAATCACGATGTATAGATGAATTAGGCATTACTTACGGGATTTTTGGATCACTGTAGCTCAAGAATTGAGCTTTGCAATCTAATTCTTCGAGTGCCCTGTGCGCCTCTGTTTCTCGGTCCGAGAATGGAAATATTATGATGGTGATGAGACGTAATGGACGGGGAGGGGGATAAATATATATGCGGCCCGGCCGCTTAATATATATATATATATATATATAAAATATATATAATTATATATATGTATAATTAATACGTATACTTATCCGATCGATCGATAATCCGATTTTCGCCGAAATAGTGTCGAAATGTTCGATTTTAAATCGCGAACTTTCTAGCGATCGAAAAATGGGTTTTGCCGGAACGGGATGTTACAATGATGATCTATTAGTATCCACTATCAAGGAAATTCAGTTAGAGTTTGGAAACGTTAAAGTAAAATACTCTAAACTGAAATCTGATCATGCCAAAATAATCATTGAATATGATGAACTAAAGAAGGAGGCGATCAGATTAAAAGAAGAGTTAGATGAAACTGCTAAGAAAGTTGAAGTTTTAGAAAATGAGAAATCAAGTCTCACGACAAAACTTCAAGTATCATTAGAAGGGAGTAAGATTGAATCTCTGAAAAAGGAAGGTAAATCTTACCTAAATCATTCCACTAAGAGATGTTGTGAAAAATTAGGATCAAATTCATGTAGTAAAGGTAAGTCGAAGATTTTTGGAGAATCAATTAAGCATGAGAGGAATGGAACATTAACACCAAGATATAGAAACATAGAATGTTTTTATTGTCATAAAGTTGGGCACTTTAGGCGAGTATGCAGAAAGAGAATACAAAATGAAAAATATAGAACTTGTTTTACTTGTCATCAAGTCGGTCACATTAGTAGATTTTGTTCTCTTAAAGATCACAAACAAACTGTATCCAAGAAAGTCTGGATACAAAAACCCAAAACTGCATGACTGCTAATGGCGCAGGTTTGCTTTCAAGTGAGCATGGAGGCAACTGAATGGATATTAGACAGTGGATGCTCACACCACATGACAGGAAATCGAAACCTATTCACCACTCTCAAAGAAGGTAAAGGTGGTAAGGTATTTTTTGGTGACAATAATTCTGCCGACATAATAGGAAGAGGAACAGTAGGTTCAGATCCTTGCATTGAAAATGTGATGCTAGTAAAAGGTCTTAAGCATAATCTGTTTTCTATTAGTCAAATGTGTGGCAAAGATAAGAGGATAATTTTTGAACATGATTGTTGCTACATCGAGTCTGTGGTGGATAAGAAAGTGCTTTTCACCGGTAGACGTAAAAATAAGTTATATGTCATAGATCTAGATGATAAAGAAAGTTTCAAGGTAACTTGTCTAATGTCATTAGAAAAGAATGATCAAATAGATTGGCATAGGAAGCTTGGACATGTGAGTATAGGAATTCTGTCTAAACTTAGTGATCTTGAGCTAGTCAGAGGTCTGCCTAAGTTAAAAGGCAAAAAGGAATTCTTTTGTGATGCTTGTGCTAAAGGGAAGCATACAAGGTCAAGCTTCAAGAGTAAGTCGGTAATATCTACATCGAGACCACTTGAACTACTTCATCTTGATCTCTTCGGACCAACCAATGTGGTAAGCTATGGAGGTAAGTCTTATGCTTTCGTAATTGTGGATGACTATTCTCGTTTCAATTGGGTATTGTTTCTAGCTAGAAAAAGAGATGCTTTTCAAAATTTTGAGTCTCTAACTAAGAAATTGGAAAATGAAAAACAATCTAAGGTTGCTAGCATTAGAAGTGATCATGGTGGAGAATTTATTTCAGAAGAGTTTGAACTCTTCTGCAATAAACTAGGAATAAGTCACAATTTTTCTGCTCCTCGAACTCCACAACAAAATGGAGTGGTGGAAAGGAAAAATCGGACTTTGATTGACATAGCTCGAACAATGTTACATGACTATGGTTTGCCCAAGTACTTCTGAGCTGAAGCCATAAATACTGCTTGCTATATTACAAATCGAGCTTTGATCAGATCTGGAATTAAAAAGACCCCTTATGAGATTTGGAGAGGAAGAAAACCCAATCTGAGTTACTTTCATCCCTTTGGTTGCAAGTGCTTTGCATTAAACACCAAAGATCATCTAGGGAAGTTTTATGCCAAGTCCGATGAATGTGTGTTTTTAGGCTGTTCCATGACTAGCAGAGCATATAGGATATTCAACAAAAGGACTCTCAAAGTGGAAGAGTCCATAAATGTGATATTTGATGAATCTGCTAATGAGTGTTCAGATGAGATAGATGAAGATGATTTTGGACTTGGTGGGAGCTATGATCTACCAAGGACACCAAACACGGAGAAATCTGAACCCAGTACGATCAGATCTGAAGACCAAGATAAAGCAGTAAGTACTACAAACTCTCCGATCGAGCAAGACCATGAAGTAAGACAACCTCCTCCTCATATTGCCAAACGCCATCCTTCTTCACTTATGATAGGAGGGCTTAATGAAGGTATGGTCACTCGCTCTAGAAATTCAATTGTGCATACTGCTTTTGTGTCATTGATTGAACCTAAAAACGTGCAAGATGCCTTGAATGATGAAAATTGGAATGCTGCTATGAATGATGAAATGAGTCAGTTTGAACGAGCTAATGTGTGGGAGTTAGTACCTAGACCCCCTAATAGAGTTATTATTGGGACTAAGTGGATCTACAAGATCAAGTCAAATGAAAATGGGGTAGCTACTAGAAATAGGGCTAGGTTGGTAGCTAAAGGGTATAATCAAGAAGAGAGAATTGATTTCGATGAAACCTTTGCTCCGGTAGCTAGATTAGAGGCTATTAGAATGTTATGTGCGTTTGCTAGCTCTAAGGGTTTCAAACTCTTTCAAATGGACGTCAAGAGTGCCTTTTTAAATGGAGATTTAAAAGAGGAAGTGTATGTTGAACAACCACCCGGTTTTGAAGACTTTAGATACCCAAACCATGTCTATAAATTAAAGAAGGCACTATATGGTCTTAAACAAGCTCCTCGAGCTTGGTATGAAAAACTTAGCTCTTTTCTTTTAGGAGAAGGCTTTAAAAGGGGCTCAGTGGATAAAACTCTCTTTATAAAAAATAAAGGACAACATATGCTTCTAGTTCAAATATATGTTGATGACATTATATTTGGATCTTCTAGCAAAGAGTTGTGCGAGTATTTTGAAAGTATCATGAAGAAAACTTTTGAAATGAGTGCCATGGGAGAATTAACATATTTTTTAGGTTTGCAAATTAAACAAACAACTCGAGGTATTTTCATTAGTCAAACCAAGTACATTCAAAATATGTTAAAACGTTTTGAATTTGGGAATTTAAAAACTGCAAATACACCTATGGCCTCTACAATTAAACTAGACAAGGATGAGTCGGGCAAGTCAATTGACGAGAAATTCTATAGAGGAATGATTGGGTCACTAATGTATCTTACTGCTAGTAGACCCGATATTCAATTCAGTGTATGTCTATGTGCTAGATTTCAAAGTGCCCCTAAGGAAAGTCATCTGACTGCAGTCAAGAGAATCTTTCGTTATTTGGCTGGCACAATGGATCTAGGTCTTTGGTATGATAGTGAGTCAAGTCTTGACTTAATTGGTTACAGTGACTCAGACTATGCTGGATGCATAGTTGATCGTAAAAGTACTTCCGGGACATGTCAATTTCTCGGAAATTCCCTTGTGTCTTGGTTTAGCAAAAAACAAAGCTCTGTTGCTCTATCCACCGCCGAGGCTGAATACGTGGCCGCTGGGCTGTGCTGTACTCAACTCCTTTGGATGAACATCAACTTTGTGACTACGGGTTAGAAATTAAGTCCATGCCTGTATTGTGTGACAATACGAGCGCCATTAACATGGCAAGAAACCCCGTACAACATTCTCGAACCAAGCACATAGAAATTAGGTATCATTTCATTCGAGATTTGATTAATGAAGGTCAAATTCAGCTTGAATTTGTGCCAACGACAAATCAATGGGCTGATATCTTCACCAAACCTCTTAGTGTGGATCAATTTCTCACTATTCGGCGCGAACTTGGTCTTATGCTCTCCAGTGAAATTAATGACTTGAAGTAGAGGTGTCAAAACTAAAATTAGTTGGAGCTAATAGTTAAACTTAAAATTTTAAGAGAAAGTGACTACAACTTTTTGTTCCATTTAGTTCATTGGCCCGAATGAAATTTTGCAAGTCCCTAACAAGACTTAGTGGGCCGAAGCCCAGAGCTAGCAAGTTCATCCCTCCCTCTAAGCAGGGCTGGAGTCGCTCACCTGACCGTGTCAGCCTGTTGCAAGTCGTGCGGGCCGAAGCCCAAAACCTTCCACCCGCACCTCCAGCCGGTCAGATCTGGTGCGATCCCCGCCGAACAGTCTTCGTTCCGGGCGAGCTATTCTTTGGGAAAGAAACGATTCAGTATCCTCTTTCACAGCTGTCGCCCTTCTGTTCAACATCCCTAATTTTCTGCTCAAATCCCCAATCTCTCTGTTCGATCAATTCCTTCCATTCTGCTCAAATCCCCAATCTCTCTGTTCGATCCATTCCTTACCGCTGTACCTTCTTCTCAACTTCGACAATGGGAAGAGAGAATCCCGTGACTGAGGTTCACATTCTCCTAATTGATTCTCTGAACCAAGATGATTCGAATTTCCTCTTACCTAATACCTTTCCACAATCGCCACCGACCAGCCAATTTAAAGAAGCCCTCATCTACCTTCGGAATGTCCATCCTCGCACTCCCTTAGTACTTCCAGCATCTCCTCCAAAAAGTAGCAGACCCAGCTCTCTGTTTTCACGATGGCGCCGAGCAATCCCCAGCTCAATGTGAACCTTGCACCTGCTGCAATCTTCACGAATCGGGGATTCCGCAACTCAGAAGCCTACTCCAGGTATCTGCGAAGCTTTTGTGATCGCCCCCTTCATCCCTCATTTATCATCACTCCTACCACATTCAATCGGTATGGACTGAGGGTCAATGGCTACATCAATGATCTTGGGTGGAGCTCTCTACTTCAGAATCGGATTCTTGATCAGTGCCCTGAGGCTGTGAGAATGTTCTACGCAAGTATGCAGTGCGGTCCTGGACACTACCCGTCGTTTTTCACCACAACCGTCTACAATTTCAGCGTGACAATCACTGCTGATGTACTGGCCACTCTCCTGCATCTTCCTCACGACGGCTACATTGCTGGAACGACAGAAGATTTTGATAGCTATGGGTTCCATCCCATAGATACTATGTCGTATCTAGCTCGTGATTATGGGAAGCACCCATTTTCCATGTTCTCAGCTGAGCGCATTCCCGATGAGCTGAAAGCCCTACACTTCTACATCACTCGTCTGTTTCTTCCCCGAGACGCTGCCACGGCCTCAACTCTCGACGAGTCCGACTTATGGATTCTGTTCAATGCCAAAACCAGCTGCCCGATCAGTTATGCAGCTCTCATGTTCAATCACATGATCAAATATCGGGAAGAAGAGTGCAGCGGGAAGCTGCCCTTTGGTCCGCAGATTACCTCACTGCTGTCTATCTTAGGTGTTGATCTGCGTGGGAAACTCTTCACCCGCGAAGTTCACTCTGATCTCCAGGCTCAGCACGTTCTGCGTCGCACATTCTCGGTGCTTGGACCTCAACGGCTTGTCAATGTTCAAGGGGGAGAGCAACCTGCTGCTGCTGCTCAGACTGAATCAGATTCCGACGCGGACTACAAGGCTGCAATGATACCTGTGAAGCTCGACAAAGGAAAGGAAAAGGCTGAATCATCTGGAACACGCAAGAGGGCTTTGGACTTAGGACACCTCCAGGAAGGAATTAGACTGGAGAAGGAAGGGAAAAGACTACTTCAGGATCTGAATCTGTCCTTGAAAGGGAAAGAGGCTGGTTCCTCTAGCAAGAAGATCAAGAAGGTCAACAAGGTCTTGTTCGTATCGTCAGAAGATGAGGAAAGCGATCCATCTGAGTATGTGTCCTCTCCGGAGTACACCTACTAGGGAGTCCTTCGTCTAACTATCTTAGGGGGAGATCCATGTCGTCGTTGTCGGTTCATGAAGTCTGGTCTGGTTGTCAAGTTACTCGAGTCGAGTCTTGATGCTATTAGGAAGGCTGATTAAGTTTCTTAAATAAGACTTATTGAAGTCCAGTGTCTTGAGTCAATTAAGGTTTGTTAGAGTCAGTATGCTTTTGTCAGCCACTGAATAAAATGAGCTCTCATTTTTATGATTTAAATTCGGAACTCTAGCTGCCTTGATTAGAAAATTGGACAGGCTGCACCAACAGTTTGTTCAGTGTGCAGATTCTGAATGTGAGCAGGTTAGAAGTGAACCTTGACAAGTCTAGGGGGAGAAGCTTGGCCATTAACAAGCTGAGGGGGAGAATGTTGACAGGAGCAGCTTGAAGGCCAAGACAAAGAATCAAATCACAGCTGGAATTAAGGAGGCTGCCCAAAAAACAGTTGAGGCAAGTTTTCGGGTCAAAAGAAGAAAGAATAAGAACTTGCACTTGAATTAATATATCGAGATGAGTCAATAATAATATAAATTAAAGTATTCTTTATCTACATATACACAATATACTATGTATTTCACTCTACGTCATTGTTGTCATCTTGCACTTTGATTGGTTCACCTTATTCTGTAGAAGGGCAATCTTGACCATTTTTCAAACGTTGTCATACCCAAGGCCAAGGGTCACTCATTATTATTGCACTTTTGGTTTCCTAATTTGTAAATGCAATTAAGATTAAGGGAAAAGAAGATTTGTTTTAAGGTAAATGATATTATAATAATTGGGTAAATGCAACATTTGGTCACTGGAATTACTAAATCGTGTTATGTTTAGTCACTAGAAAAAATTAATATCAATTTTGGGCACTTGAATTACTAAAACAGGTCACATTTAGTCACTCTCCCGTTAGCCTCCGTCCAACTCCGGTCACTCGAACTGCTTTTTTTTTTTTTTATGAATGTCATTCGAATTACAAAAACACGTCACATTTAGTCACTCTCCGTTAGCCTCCGTCCAACTCTGTTAATGGAGTTGGACAAAAACTAACGGGAGAGTGTTTAAATGTGACATGTTTCAGTAATTCGAGTGACCAAAATTGATATTAATTTTTTCTATTGACTAAACATGACATTATTTAGTAATTGTTGACAGGAGCAGCTTGAAGGCCAAGACAAAGAATCAAATCACAGCTGGAATTAAGGAGGCTGCCCAAAAAACAGTTGAGGCAAGTTTTCGGGTCAAAAGAAGAAAGAATAAGAACTTGCCATAGTTGAAGATTTCAAGGGAATTCAAATTCTCAACAGCTACATTGTTGCCTATAAAAGGAGATTAGAAGGAAGAGCAAAACAACCTTTCAAGAGATCAAAACTAGCTAAACCAAAAGGGGATTTTGCGAGAATAGCTAGAGTGATAGGAAAGGGGTTTCTCAAAGGGTTCGGGGAGAATTTCTTTGAGGGTTAGTGTTGGGGAAACACTGGTTTCGAGTTGCTGGGGAAGCAATTCGGGTTTGAGAAGAGAGAGCTTGAGCAATCGGGTTACGATTGATCAAAGGGTTCTTGGGTAGATAGCTTGTAACAACGAACTTCAACGCAAAATCATAGTGAATCGTCGGAGATCACACAATCGTGATTCTCTGACCGTGGAATAGTCAGTATTGGGATTCTCATTCTCCCAATACTGGAAACCACGTAAAAATCGTGGGCTGTGTTCATTATCTGTTTTTACATTTGGTTCTGTGAATACCTCTGTGTATGTTTCAGTGCAATCTGTGAGTGCAGGGAATTCGTACAGAACTGAAGAGGAAGTAAGCCCTGACCGAAGGGCTAATCATCATCATTCATCTCCTGAATTGGAGAACTAATCAGAGCAGGGTTTGATTAAATTTGCTTTATAATTATCTGGTCTTTATTGTTGTGTTCTTAGCCTTCATCCCTTGTTCTTGGCTCGAAAAGAAGCAGGTCTGCTTCTGGATCGAAGTGGCAAGTGGGAGGGAAGCAGTGATTTGAATTTAATCCACAGCCGTTTCATTTGAGTCACTTAGAGACTGGGTCGGGTTAAGAAACAGACTGGGCCGGGCTTATGGGTTGAGTCTTTTAATCCGACTGAATTTAACAATTGGGCTTGGAATCCAAGTTGGATTAAACGCAGGGGTTTAACTGAGTGGGCCTTAACATCAGTAGCCTAAGTAAAGTGTTATTTAAACAATAATCTAAGCTTAGGTGGTTTAGTTAGTATTTCGGTCCAAGTGTGATCCTTTAGACTCACTTGCCTGTTAGCTGGTTTTTTATTGCGTCTTTCAATTGGTTAAAATATTATAATTGTGCTTATCTGTGATTAAGTTGTTCGAAAGACAGGTATAGAGTCTCGCGCTCGACGCAACCAACAGTAATCTCATTGACCAAATATGACAGTTACTACCCTATAATAATTACTTGGACTTTGCTTTGTGTAGATTTGTTTTGTGTGGTTAAGGAAAAAATAGAGTGGTCGTTTGGATGGGTTAATTGTCAATATGGTATTTGTAAAGCTAAATAACTCATTTATTGTTTATGTGGTATTTCAGTAGCATTGAAATAAAGTACCTCGTTTGGTTGAACCATGCAAATGTGGTATTTGACATGTGGTATTTGGTAAAAGCAGAGTGGTAAAACAAGTATTTCGAAATAACACATGGGTATGAGTTATTTCAAATAACTTGTTTTGAGTTATTTGTAAAAAACTTGTTTCAGTAAACCGCTGCCAAACGAGTTATTTGTGTCCAAATAACTCATTGTAAGTTATTTGATCCAAACAACTCATACAAATACTCCATCCAAACGACCCCAGAGGTTATCTAAAGTTGTTTAGCTCATGAATGAGATAATGAGTGCGAATTGGATTTCAAGATGACGAAGATGATATATTGTTGTGGCACGGATGTTTGGAAAGAGGTTTCTTCTGCAAACGTTTTTTCGCATTAGGTTTTTACGTTAAACAGAGAAACCAAGTATCAACCCTCAAAATCTTTAGAATCTTAACTTTACAGTGACTTCGGCAAATAGGAAGAGGAAGAAAAATGTAAAATCTTGGAAAAATACAATCAATTTTTATTGTTTTTAATTCTTTAATTTTCAAATAAGCATGTCTAATTTTTTTACATTAAATTTTGAAAGGTAAGATCACATGCTTAGTCGTAAGTTAAACAATAATTCCATCCATATCGTATCGGCTCGATATTTGCGTCAAATTAGATCAAACAAAAAATAATTGAATTTTTTTTACTCTATGTAATTGCGTAAAGTCGAAGAAAAATGAATGAATCACAACCATATCAAATGTTCTTTTGACATTCATCTTTAATTTTCAATTACTTTAAGTTTCGTTCTATCATGATTCATTGGGATCATGGACCATAACAAACCCGCCAATACGAGATAGGTTTTTATTATAAACTTATTAAACTTAAAATCTGGTCTAACGAAACAACTTAAATACGAGATAGGTTCTTCAACCTAACTACGCTATTATTTACATCTATACTATTTACATGAATGAATAATTCCAATAACGATTCCAAAATAGTTGTATAATGATAATCATTAATCGTGAGTTTTTGACATTTTCCATCCGAAAACCGCTCCGCTTTTGAAAACATAGAATATAGTTAATAAAATATTTATAAATATGAGCATATTGTTAAAGGTTAACTTTGAATTTTGATAACTAAAGTTCAAATGGATGAATAACCTACAAACGCCATTTCAAGTCAAAATATTATTTTGCTAATATTTTTGAAAACATAGAATATAGTTAATAAAATATTTATAAATATGAGCATATTGTTAAAGGTTAACTTTGAATTTTGATAACTAAAGTTCAAATGGATGAATAACCTACAAACGCCATTTCAAGTCAAAATATTATTTTGCTAATATTTTTCATTTTCGTTTCTTTTAAAAAATAAATTTAATACATCTATGCTAATTCTTTTTGATTTTTTTACATAATTTCCAAAATAATCTATTTCCATACCACATTTTTTCTCTTTTTCTCAAATATTTGTATCAAGAAACTATTTAAATATAATACATCTATAGTAATATTCTGTACATGATTTCCTTTTTAATTTAATTGATGACAATGTACAATATATAAATAAAATATTGGTATATTGATTAATTTTCAAAGCTTTATTTGCAAGCTAATTATTTCACGTATAACGAAGATAAAGATCTTAGTTGAAATTTGTTGTTTTGATTCAGTGATGTTTAATATCTCAATGCATGAATATAAAATCTAGATAGTTTCTCATTTTATTCATTGTCTAACTTAAACTTCTTACGGTTAAGTATAAAATGAAACACAAATTCAATAAAAATTATTAAGTTAATGGTCACTCAAAAACCAGTGGCGGATTAGGGGGGCCATGGCCCAGCCCTCCCCGGATCTAAAGCTCGTATAGTACTTGTAAATTTCCGATTTTAGGTATATATTTCAATATTTATAGGGTTACGACCTAACCCTCTCCACCGCTTTTTAAATGCGGCCCAGTGGTCTAACCTGTTCTGGATCCGCTATTGTCAAAAACATAAACTATAAAGTTAATCTTTCGCACGACCACTGCACAGTACTAAAAAGTGAACACTTACGTTTAACTAAAAAAAATACGCAAATGCCCACAAACCGGTCAATGGGCCGGATACAACACTAGTGTGTCTTATTGAGAAAAAGAAGAAAGAAGTGAAGGGGAAGGTGAGGTTTCATGAAGGTGCATGCCAAGCTCTTGGTGTTGACGTACGATGCACTTGTTAATCGTTAATGCGATTAGACTGTTGTCCATTTTAAAAAGAGAATGGGATTATCCTCCCACTCTCATTCTCTGATGCTAAAAGTTAAAACCAAATGAAAGAGGAATACATACACGAAACGACGGCCCGTCAAAGGAAAGGAATAGAGGCAATTGCCGAAGAATCGAAACGACGGACCAATCAAGGGAAAACCCATAAGTTTTGGATTGACGAAAAAGGAGAATATGAAACCGGCAAAATAAAGAATGAAAAAATGGTGTGATTATCTTCTACGTAAGACACTCAATTCTACGGTTCTAACATTTGTATGAATTTGAGTATTTCGAGTCCAACGGATCAAACTCTCTA